CCTTTGTTTGTGCTCACGCTCAACATGGCCTTATTACAGGTTATATTTTATTAACAATGTGATGTCCTTATTAAAGAAAAATCTATATTCTATAAAGCTATATCAGTAGTTCTTCCACAGCAGGTCTAAGTGTGGGAGTGCAACCTTTTTTGTGACAGTGGAATGCCACTAAATGCACAATACTAGGTCTTTCACTCGTGGTATTACTTGACTGTTTTCACACAGCACACCTTAAAAGGGGAATTTGTATAATAAGCTTCAGAACATGCTTTTATACTTGCTCGGGTTGAAGATTATGATTGTTTGAAGACACTGATTGGGAGTCTGTTCGGTGCTTCCTTCAGGTGGTTCAAAACCACAAGTCAGGAACTGAGTTACTTCTGGAGTCTGGACCTGAGGCTGTTTCACCTTTGGGCAGCAATGCCACACTCACTCCTAGTGCCTAATACTGGTGTAACAATGCCATGAGTCACTGGATGGTAATAGCTGCCAGTGAAGTCCAGAACTGCCAGTGAAGTCCAGAACAAGTCAGGTTTTGTGACATTTAGTTGAGGGAATGCTTTGGCAAAACGACACAAATCAGATACTGAAAGGACAACTTTACCTTAAAACGTCTTCACAAAAAGGGAACAGGAATCGTGAGCATGAGATTAGCTGCTTTCTTCTCTACTTGCCTAACTATGAATCTAAAGTTGTTGTTAATGTTTAATAAAGAAATTAAGATAAATGTTTCTAAAAAGTTTTTTAGAGATCCACAAGACAACGTCATGTTATGATTATTAGTGGCTTCATTCGTTCTTTTAGCAGCTGTACAAAGAAAGGAAGCATAGTTTGTATTAACATGGCCAGTTATTTATTCCTAATTGGTGACCTCTTGCCTGAATGGATCAGTGTGTACTGTAATCCTTCTTTCTTAAAGCAAATTAAATGTTTTTGGAACGTATGTGTCAAAATTGTGGTCTTTGTGTGAAATTTGTTTGAAGGTAGATTACACAAACCTGCTTACTGATTCTATTGTTTCAATTTTTTTGCCTGCAAGTTAGGTACAGTACTGTGCAAATGTCTTGAGCTACCCCCTAATTTCTTTATATTTTGCTCCCAAGAGACCTTTCTATTATATATTTTTTCTTTAATTGTTCTTGAACAATAATTCTTCAGGCTTCCTGAGTGGCTTTTTCAAGTTTTTATTTGGATGTTGCCTGCTCTTTCCCTCAATTTGAATCCAGTCTTTGTACCCAACCATCTTCTGAGAATGTTTGTGTTTAAGCTACTTAACTCTGACCTGTGAGTCATTCAAGCATAAAAATGGAAACCAGTATGGTATCTACATATTGAACAAGAACCAATTTTCCATCGTCTTATTTGCATGTATTTTGCTCACATTACTTCATTTGAATGTATGCAAATTGCCAAAGATCACTCAGTTTGACAGGCGTAAAATAGTATTTTTCCTCCAACAAGCTGATTCCTAAAGGACTATTAACCAGAAACTTGGCATATCTTGTCATGGTTATGGATACTTTGAGAAAACCTGGAAACGTGCAGATAAACATCTGTAAACGGTATTCTTTAAACTGGAAAGAAAAGAGATAATCTAATAACTGATAAAGAATCTGGGAGTACATCTGTTTTCTTGAGAAATGGTTTCAATGTAAGGGTTTACAGCCATTACTATTAAGAGAAATGAAGGGAAAGTATTGCAAATTACAAACTGCACTGAAAATCAGTGGCAAAAGGTCTTTGTGTGTTGAATCTAAATTCAAATGACTGGTTTAAGTCATTGTCATTATTTATGGAGAAGGTCAGAAAAGAGTTACAACAGTGACCCATTTCTAAAACATTGTGGGTGCTTTCATCCACCATGTAATACCAGCTGAAAATCATCTGATTGGCAACAGCATCATTTTCAACATAATAATGATCCCTAACACACTTCCAATCCATTGGTCATGGACTGGCATTCGCATTTCCACAGCACTCAGACCTCAATGTTATTGAAGCAGGGATCATCTTCACAGAGAACAGAACAAAAGGCAGTTAAATTCCAAAGGATGTGTCCTTCAAGAGGCCTGGAGTTATTTCTGAAGATATTTGAATTTACAAGAAAGCTTGCTCAAGAGTTCAGGCTGCCGTGAAGAATAGAGGTGATCAACAAATACTCTTTGAAATTGTACAGACTCTATTTCAGCCTTATATTCTGGATTTCCATGTGTGTTCCCTCGTTTCATTAAATTACTGCTCCCATTTCCAGTTTTATTTTTGCACAGTACTACATAACACTACAGCTGGATGAGAAATACCTTCATTTCTGCAGATATGAAGAGAAGCTATTTTACGAAAAAATCGTATGTTGTGGTGGACCACTGTCTGTGTTTACCTCCACAATGTATACTGAGCTTGGTGTCCCACAAATTCCGCTCACATGTCAGTGGCCAGTTTCTTCAATTGAGGAAAAAATGGCGCCAACTAAAGCGGTTTCAGTGTGATAAAAATTAGCGTCCTTTACAAGGTATCGTTGTTCAGCTATTACAAACTGAAGTATTCAGTCAGACTGAAGAAGAATGAGGGAGATACTAAAAAGCTGAGCTACGGTAGTTTTGTTGACGTCAGGTAGCGTCAACAAAACTCCGGTCTACGTCATTGCGTCATTTCCGACGCAGGCGCAAAATACCATTTTCTGTCGCGTGTGCGGCCTCTCTTCCTCTACCGCCATCATGGGTCGCATGCACGCTCCCGGGTGAGCTCTCTTTTTGTCTTTTAAAGTTGGTATTTTCCTTCTGTAGACTGGTTTTGTTTGCAGGAGATAGTTTCTAAACATGTTGTGGCTGACTGGGGTCAAAAATGAAATCTGGGATTCAACCTAAAAGTGAGAAATTGACTTACATGCACACAGTCAGTCGACATCCTCCTTTAGCTAGCTTGTGGTAGCCAAGTTAGCACATTTGCGCATCGAAACGATTTTAACTCCCCGAGTTGTACATCATGTTGCATATAAATGTATAACTTGCAAAGTTTAAGTCACGCGTGTTTCTTCTTACGGATAAAGTTAATTTACTGTGAACTGATCATTTAGTTAAGATTCATGATCGGTAAGCCAGCACTAGTATGAAGCGAGCATAACCCGGCCTAACGTTTTTTCCCCTGTTGACTTGACGATAGTTTTTGCGTTGTTCTGACCAAACTGTCAAGTTATCACTACTAACGGGATTTTGTTTCTCGCTTACAGAAAGGGCTTGTCCCAGTCAGCTCTGCCTTACAGGCGCAGTGTTCCCACTGTGAGTACACATTCATTATATTTCACTAAAGCGAAGTGATTATTGCACATTTTTTGAACACGCGTCCTTTATTTTAATACCGTCCCCCATTTTTGTAGTGGCTGAAGCTCACATCTGATGATGTCAAAGAGCAGATCTTCAAGCTGGCCAAGAAGGGTCTGACTCCTTCTCAGATTGGTAAGTGCTAGTTTAGGTTTTCTTCCCTGCAACATGCAGATGTTGAGATTAATTACATGACATGACTATAATAATTGAAGATCACCACAGTTCAGTTCACAACTTTTGGCAGACTCAGATATTGCTGAGCAGTTTAAAAACGTTTGGCTGCACATTACTTGTGCTAGATGCCCTTCCAGATATTTGGCTGACCATGATGTTGATACCATTATGCTAAATTTCTGCAGTAATTTTTAATTCAGAATTTCTCATAATTGTAAACGTTGGGGTTGCTGTTATCGTGTTCTTGTTGTTCTTTGTCCTCTGAGCTTCAGTGCGATGTAAACCAGATGTATTACACACTGTCTAGTCTCAAGTTTTTACACTGTCATTCTAAGCCATTATAATACAATAAGAAGTGTATGTTGTTTTCTCTGATATTTACAAATTAGGATAGATTGTCTGTATTGTGAGTAAAGTAAAGACGAGATGGAGCAGGTATACATTTTCCTATTGACTGATAGCTACAGGCCTCAAGGGTCCACAGAAACTCATGTCAATTCAAAACGTTTGGAAAAGTCCTACAAAGATTATTGCCAACTTATCTTACTGTGCAAACAATCATTGAATAAAATGACTTGTCATCAGTGACAAAAAAATGTGATGCCATTCAGAGAAAACTTCAACTCTTTCTCTGTTTAGGAAAATTACATTAGCCAGATGCCACTTGTGTTACATAAATCCAGGAAACACAATTTACTCACTTTGAATTTTTTTTAGTTTTGCTTTTGAATCAATATGCAGTCTTCATTTCTCTGGAATTTTTTTTAATCTGTTTTAAGACTGTTTTGGCAGATTTATGCAAAACTTAATTTGTTGGCATAATCCCATGCCTGTTTCAGTTTTATCATGTCTATAAACCTTTCTAGGTGTGATTCTGAGGGACTCCCACGGTGTTGCCCAAGTACGTTTTGTCACTGGCAACAAAATTCTGAGGATCCTCAAGTCCAAGGGTCTGGCCCCTGACCTGCCAGAGGATCTGTACCACCTCATCAAGAAGGCTGTGGCGGTCAGGAAGCACCTGGAGAGAAACAGAAAGGTACAGCAAAGCTAGGCCAATGACCTGGAACAAGATCCTATAGCATAACTTGGAAGATAAGTTTGTTTTCCATGTAAAATTAAAAATGTGATTTTGATGTTGTCATCAACAGTTTAAAGGATTATTATTCTTTGGAATGCAAGCAATTTGAAATATAATGGGAATTGAATGCAACACGTTGTTGTTATATTTGCAGGACAAGGATGCCAAGTTCCGCCTGATTCTCATTGAGAGCAGGATCCACAGGCTGGCCCGTTACTACAAGACCAAGAGAGTACTGGCCCCCAACTGGAAGTAGTATGTATCTGTGATGCTTTTGAGATGCTTTTCTTGTTATTTGGATCGGAAAATTAAATTTTTGCAAGTCGGTTACCTGTTTGTTATCAAAAAAAATTGTCACAAATGGTAGTTTTTATTACAACACTAATCGTTTAACTGTATTGTAATGTTCACTAAGTGTATACATGGAAGTGCACAATTCATTGTCATGCTCCTCATTGTTTATTAGGAGTATTGATATTTCTGTTGTGCTAGAGAAAAACTGGAGGTAAATTAGCAGAGCAGCTACTTGGTGCAGTCTCTGCCAGTCCCCTTCACACAGTGAAACTATTTGTGTACATGTGTGGTTTAGTGTGGATGGACACATTGATGTTCTAAAAAGACAACTTGGTCCTTTTTATTCAGCTGTAGTTTTGTAGGTTTGCACATGTGGCGTTTTAAGCAGGTTGTAATTTATGTGGCCAACATGAACTTAATTTTGAATATAAAGAAATAATTACAACAAAGTAAAAATCATGAGTGAGTAATAGGAAAGAGATGGTTATACTTGTTCCCCTAAAAAATATATATATATATGAAGATTTAATGGGTTTTTGTTTTTAAGTCAGAGGTTTTTGTTTACTAATGTTTTTTTCCCCTTTCTGTTTACAGTGAGTCCTCTACAGCTTCTGCTCTGGTGGCATAAATTCTACACTTTTGGATTAATAAAACAGTTTAAATTGGGAGTTGTTTGTTTGTCTTTTTGTGTGTGTGTTAAGATTTAGAGATGCACTTGAAATACAGGCCAAACACCGAATACAAAAAAGAATACATTTAAATGGACCGGTACTTTTACAGTGCTTTTCTACTCTGAGCGCTCAAAGCGCTTTACACAACTTGCCTCATTCACACGAGCAATGTTTTTTTTTTTAATGCTCTTTCTACATAAGTGCTTTGTAAAACACACATGCATTCATACTCCAGTTGATTCATGGAAGAGCAACTTGGGGTTAGACTCTTGCCCACTGATATTTAGCACACAGACGGGTCTAGCCACCAACCTTCCGAATAGTACGGTAGGTGACCTGCTCTACCACCTAGGGGAAAACAAATGCAGCAATACATGCCCATTGAGAGCAGGGCCCTATACTACAGGGAAAGTTCAACATACCCAGGGCACTTTTCATCATCACTTGCCAACATCAGGATAAAAGGTCACATAAAGCTGGTTATCAGCTCGCTAACTTAAACCCAAGGTTAATATTCTAATTTTCTGTAAATGTAATTTTTTCCCCACAGTGGCTGTTTCTGTTTATTTAACGTAATATAAAGTGGAGTAGCTTTTCTTTAAGCAAAGGCCAAATTCCACCCTGGATCAGACTGATTTCAGAGAAGTTATTTGGGTCTTTGCACATTTTACTAACCAGTATGTCCTAATTTGATTGTTTGTGGGGAATTTAAACTGAAGAAAGGAACACCGTAAGCACTATTTTTATTAGACTTTTATAAGTTCAGATGGCCACAAATTTTGAGACCTACCCGAAACACTGCCGACGTGCTCATGTTTGTGTTTGGGAAGGTAGGATCCCTTCAGGGTTGTCACAAAAAAAATCAATATTCGGAAGGTAATCGTTACTAAGAAAATTACTTTTGAATTAGATACTCATTCGCAATAGTATCTATACCAACAGTGCTGTTTTTGGGTCCTCTTTGAGATCATAGGTACTTCACAGGGTACCATTGAAAACATGCCGGCATACAGCTTCTAACTAGCAGCTGAATACACGAAGAGTAGTTTGCATTCACAGCATTTTATGAGGAATTTCAGGATCTCTTTTTAAAGCTTGTGTCTTTAAACAAAAATGAAGTACTAAATAATCGAAGCTGTAACTATATAATTTTAACTATTAAAATTTACCCAGCGGTTAGAGCAAAACAGTTGAAGTATTGAGGTTTCATTCTATTTGTAGCATCAGTGTGCAAAGCGTGATATGTGGAAGATACTAAAAGACTATTGATTCTAGAAGTGACATTGAATTTCCTCAGGCCATGTGTCAAGGCCTTTGCATGTATTTTTTAAGAATTACAAACAACATTTAGTTCATATTGGTTTATTCATCGTGACATAAGACAGTAAGTTGTATTTAAATTGTCTGTGTTAACGTGATGTAGCAAAGACTGATGAAGCTATGCAATGGTAAGATGTCCGCCCATTGATCCCTCCATAATCCACATTGCTGCTCCTCTTATAACAGTGAAACTTGAACACAGTGATTACTTACTGGGCTTACATCCAAGTTGTGCCCAAGTTCAAAATCATATAGGGTTTTTCAGGGTTGGGGGGTTCCCCTTATAGCAGGGGCTCCCAAAGTGTGAGGTGCAAATCTGCAGTTTGAAATTACAAGTATGTACAATTTCATATTTATATACATTCATTGATTTATATAAAAGTGAATTAAAACTGTTAATAGGAGGATGTTACTTTAAGTTAAATTTACTTTTGTGTCCCATTGGCTAATGGGTCACACATTGCTCTTATCACTTAGCATATGATTGGGTTGCTTTAACAATTTATAACCAACAGCCTATGATGTTGATGTTTTTCTAATTAAATTCTCAAGGAAATGCTTCACTTTATCTTGTATTTTGATCAGAGTGAAGATTTAAGATTCGGTGGGCCTCAGGGTTTTTTTGTTTTTTTATTTTTTTCAAGTGGACTGCAGTATTCTTTGGCAATGGCTGCTCTGAAGTATTGGCCATCCCAACAAGCAGACGATTCCCTATGACCAAGCACTTAGTGGGGCAATACTTGGGAGGAAAACCTCCCTTTTAACAGGAAGAAACCTCCGGTTTTGAAATATTAAGCTGTTGTAATCAGAATTAAATAAGTATTTGGTTTTACAGATTTAGTGTGTATAATTTAACCAAATTTGATCAAAATGGATAGGTAAGCAGAAGGAGTAGTAATTTTGCTGCTGAATTAACCTACCCAACCCCATTTGTGGTTTCAAACTGAATGTCGATCACTGGTCTGACTCAAAGAAAGGATGGAGAACCTCCACAGATGCATTTGTTGACATCTAAGCATAACATCAGTTTAATTAGGCTCAGCCAGTAATAAATGCTGGGTTTTTGTGGTATTATCCTGTCTCATATTCAAAGTGTTCATCTGTTTGAAATTAGCGCTGCAGCTTTCTTCTAGAAAATAATTATTACTCATACTATAGTCTAGGACATAGTCTGTGGCTGGCTCTGAGTGTATATGATGAACATTAGGGCATTGTAATCCATAGTGAAGCAGATGGGCTACAGTAGCAAAGGTATCAACATTTATAACTGCCCATAGACAAAATTTTAAAAGGAAGAATCCAAAAGAAAAACACCCTTCAAACATGTTATGAGTGTTGACATTGTATAGTTTGTCCACCAGAGGGCATTCTGCAACTTTCCTGTTGACAAAACATGTTTGGAATGCTGCAAGCACAACAAACAGCTAAGAGTGAAAGTGACGATAATAAAACAAAATTCTTCAGGCGTAACATGAACTTGTCTTGTTATGACGACTCTGAATGCCCTTTTAGGTTGAGGGAGCAAATATCCCTAGAGTCTGAAATTATTCTAGTCATATTGTCTAGTGTGAGAACATTGTTACCTTTTCAGGCTTTTTACCCCAAATTGTACCTGGGGTCACATCATTTTCTTTACATATATTTAATCTTGAGGTTATATACTCTGTTAGTTGATTGTGCACCTCGGCCTGTACAGCTGACCCAGTGAGGAAAAATGAAAGGAGGGGACAGTATCGCACGTCAGTCCGGTAAATCACAATCTCTCCACCACACAGTCCTCATTTATAAAGTGCTCTACAAACACAAACATCATGGCTAACAGGTGGATTCTACTGTTTCAGTGCAGCAAGCCAGCAATGAACAATCACTTAGAGCTAAAGAAACGGAGTGAAAGCATGTCCTTGTTTTATTTTTAACTCAAAAATCATTTCAAAAGTGATCCCCTTAGACTGCTTTTTAGTGCATCCAATATCATAGCAACTATCTGGCATTTTGGCTAAGTTAAACTCGGAAGGTGGTCAAAGATTGGTTGTAAGGCAAAGGGCCACAATACTGTTTTTGCTTGCCAGGTGGGCGTGTCCCAGTAGCTCTGACATCACGTGTAAAGGGAAAATGGATTAGCAGCAACTAACCAACCTAGTACATTCTGTACTGTCACAAGATGGTGCTACACATTTCCTAGAAACTTCAAACAGAGCAATTATTTCTTAAATCCAGCTTAGAGACAGAGTTAAATCTATGACCGATTTTTTGAAGGTGGGCTCCATAGTTTAATTGGCCTCAATACATGTAGTGTTTCATGTCCACTTTAAAACATGCTGTGAATAAAAGGATCAATCAGCGTGCGCTGCTTATTATAAACCTAACCTGCTCCCAACAGTTTTTATTTTTTATTTTCTCAGCTGCAAACTCTGTGCTGATAAGGGTTTGAGAGTAAAGATGATATATAAAAAACATAATTCAAACATAGGTTTAGTTTACATACACAATTTTATATGAAGTCAACAAGTACAGTGTAGGTGTTTTTCTTTTTAAATTAAATTAAATTGCTGGATGTCAGAGATTTACAGTTAACAAACAGTCAGGTGAATAAACAACACTGAGACACTTGTGTAGGTTAACGTGCTGCACGGGTGAAAAGCTCAGAGCAAATCACACCGAACTGCAGTATTCGTTTATTTTTATAGGTTACATCGTCAATATGCAAATATAATCACATTTCCTGTTACGCAGGTCCTGATGTCTGTCTGCATGCAAGCTGTGTGTGTGTGTGTGTGTCTCACAGAGTATGTGTGTTGCAGGTCAATTTCTAAGAATAATATAATGCAAGTCAACTTCTGCGGATATGTATTTCTGTGCTGGTCTCTTGTCAGTGTCACAGGGTCAGCTTCCTGTTTTAACAGAAAACTGTGTCTGGTGAAATATGTATAACATAACTTTTGAAGCATAAGCAAATAAAACAATAAAAAAAAACCTACACTGGAATATCGCTTGCTGCCAAGAGAAAGAAGAAATTGAGAACTAAATTTGTCTAAACATCTATATGTATATATGAAGCTCATCTGGGAAACTGTCTACTGTTACATATAATTTGCAGTGTCTAAATGTTCACAGATTAATTCCAAAGTTAACTCTTCTTCCATTTCAAAGGAGACAAAAATGTGGGATAAATGACATAGAAAGTAAACTTTAGCAAAAATACATTGATTGAGTACATTGCCATTTATGCACTGATCTCCCTGCTTTGATATCTGCATTACATTATGCCAAACAATAGGCTTTTGTTTATGTACACGGGTTTGAAAAAGAAATTATTCAACCAAGAAAGTGTCACAAAAGGAAAGTTAAACTGCATTCGATGAATGACGTTCCCTCCTTCTCTCCCTGCAGAGGTCCAAGGGATCTTCTAGGAATGATGATGCTATTTTCTTAAGTATTGATTGGTCAGTAGGCAGTGGATGTAAACACAAAACATAAAGAGCTAGCGCACTCCAGTGTTGCCTGTTTATAACAGCGTGACAACTCTTTTGAGCACAACTGCTACTCATCAGATGTTTCTACTCTAAAACATAATTTGCGCCTAATGTTTCAATATTAATTCCAAAGTTAACTCTTTTTCCACTTCCCTGGGACAAAAGGTGGAATAAGTGAGAGTAAAATCTAACAAAAATACATTTCTTCTCTGCATCACTTTATGCTAACCAATAGGCTTTTGTTTTTATACATAGGTTTGTATAGGAAAACAACCAAAAAACGTGGCACGCAAGGAAAGTGAAAGTCCATTCATGAATGAAATGCTGCAATCTCTATAGATTTTGTTTTTATCTCTGGGAAACTCTATAAGTTTTCGTTATTATCTAAATTCACTTTTAAACCCGGGTTTTCCAGGAAGCTGAGGAAATTACGGGCACTTTCTATGCGTCACGCGTTACGTTACCTGTGGGAGGAGTTAGCAGACGAGTAGGGATCTAAGCGAATACAGTTACTCTGTCCAATCACGGTGCAGCGTGACGTCAGTATGTTTATATTAACGGGAGTGTTGCAACCTCGCGACATTCAACTCCTGCTACTACAACAACGAAAATACAGCTGAAGAACATGGAGAAAATACATGAGAACATTTGACGAAGGACACCAAAAAATGGCACAGTCTTGCCGAAAAATGAAGCGACAAAACATCGACGCATATCTGTCACCGACGAATACGCGAAATCTCTTGGTTTTCGACGAGGAATACCAGAATACGTGAGGAGTTGTGTTCAACACAGTCGCCGAAACTCGAGAAGAAAGACGTGAAAATGGCTACGGTTGTTGGTTCCCAGACTAGCTCTGAGCGGACGGCGATGGAAAGGTTTGGCAGCGGAGGGATGGCTATTCTGCCGTGGACTAAACAGATGCTCACCGTGCTGTGGGAACAGCTTCGGTTGCTGGTTCAAGTCATTTACTACACTTTCCTGTCAGGTAAGAGTGAGACGAAATCAAAAGTTTTTTCTTTGTGTCTTACGCCCACTTTATAGCTTCTAAGGTTAACCTTTGGTGTGTTTACTGATGTTGGAAATTGTAAGACCACTGTGTAGGTGTAAGATATGTTTAGTTTTTTTAATATAGTAACTCATTAAACGACATACCTTTTAGCAAACTTAATATTCTATGGGGCTGACACTATGCTGTGTTTTACTGTCTGAATAGTTCCTCGATTTTTTATTTTTATTTTTTTGTAGATGGTGTTTCTTTTCCAACTTCCGCAATGTTTACGTGCGTTTTCAGCATTTGAACATTGTTTAGACATCACAGTAACACTTCCTGTATAACACTTGAAGTACAACACACGGACTTGTATGTTACACTCAGTAAACCTTCTTTGAAATAATACGTAAAACTGCAGTACAAACACAAACCTTGTCTTGGCCTCATAGCATGAATGGAATAATTATTTCTTCAGAAAATTTAACTTGATTACATTTTATTGTACTTAAAAGCTTTTTTTGTTTTTTTCTTCCAGTTTTCCAAATGTTCAGGTTTGAGGTTCACGTGAGAATCACAGACGAGACTGGTCAGCATATCCAGCACATGACCACAGCCACAAACCCAACAGAATCATTCCTCTTCACCTCTTTGTTTGAGGGAGACAACATGGTTGGTGGTTCAAATCCCCTCTCCAACTTCTGTGCAGACGTTGGTGACCCGTTTGCTGGGAAATCCACTGCTGAGGCCTTGCTGTCCAGTCTCCGTGCTGACGACCTGTGTTGCGGGCTTGTGGATGAGTTTGTGTCCAGAACAGCTGGCAACGAAGAGGGCATCTTTCTGGGACACCAATCTGGCTGGAAAATGGGCTTCCCTGGCGACTGGAACTTCTTTGTGTCGAGCGGCGAGGACTCGGGTTCAAACGACACCTGCCAAAAAAATAGTGAGGAAGACCTCAAATGGGATATTTCCAAGGAAAAAGTTTTCAAGCAGGACACATCAGAAGAAGATAGAAACTCTCACTGGAGCAGTGAGGAAGACCAGAACACAGTAGAATTTGAGAGTGACGAAAGTAAAGCACTTTGGGAATCTCTGTCAAAATCCAGTGATCCTTACAACCCTTTCTTTTTCTCCGCCTGCATTTCAACTAACACAGATATGGGCAAAAGAAAAAGTGAAGTAAAAGACTGTAGCGACACCGACCTCATGTCCGTAAGCAAGGCCAGTGAGGAAATGATGGGGTCTCAGGGCCTAAAGAACTGGGTCTGTCGCTCCGACAGCGAAAGCAGTTGGAGCAGTTGGGCCAGTTCGGATGGTTCGAGCCCTGACATCGACAAGGAGGAAAGTGAGAGGCTGTGGGACTTCTTCAGCAGTCCTGAAGACCCTTACAATCCCATGTGTTTCACTGCATGCACAATCAGCAGCACAGCTCCCCAAGCCACCATGTTATCTAATTGCGAAACCCCAAAATCTGACACAGACACAGAGGAGAAGGAGAGCACCATCCCCCCTTCATCCGAAGAGGATGAAGAATCACTGTGGAAATCTCTCTGCCTAAAGGATGACCCTTACCACCCTTTGAACTTCCAGGCACCCCTTCAGACCTCTCCAAAACGAACACTCCTGCAAGACGATGATTCAGATATTCTTAATGTTCACCACACACCAAATTCATCCACAAAAGCAAAGAAATGGGCAAAAGCACCCCAGAAGCCTGTGCTGCCAGAGAGACAGACAAAGCATCACTCCCATCCAGAGACTATACTAGTGCCCTGGAAAAGATCTGGACAAACACCCACACCAACTTCAGAGATGAAAGAAAGCAAGGCTGACACCACCCAGAAGAAGGTAATTGTCTGATAATTTCTTTTTATTCTTTCACTTTTTCCACATGGAGATGTTAAAGGAACCCAAATACAAAAGTTTTGGTGTATTTATTATTGTTTTTTAGCTGTGGGCTAAATATATTAAACTGAATGAGTGTGTAAACATATTGTCAGAAATCACACTCAGTTCATTGACCCAAACCAGGGGTAGGCAACTCAAGGCCTTGAGTGCCAGTGTCCTGTAGGTTTTAGATATCACCCTGTGTCAACGCACCTGAATCAAATGATTAGTTCATTCCCAGGCCTCTGGAGAACTTCAAGACATGTTGATTTGGTCATTTAGCCATTTGAATCAGCTGTGTTGGATCGAGGACACATCTAAAACCTGCAGGACACCTGCACTCGAGGCCTGGAGTTGCCCATCCCTGACCCAGACAAATATAGAAGAGGAGGTGATCTCATATTTAAAGTTAGAATGTTAATATCATGAAGAGGAGGGCCTACTGCTGACTCATGTACTGCGTGTGTGTGAAACAGAGATAAAGATAACTGTTTATTCCTTCCTCCAGACTGAGTGTCTTAAGCTGAGTTGTTTGTTTTCGCTTAGCAACACTGGTCGTCATGACTAAGCCAGTCATGTGACACCAGCGAGTCAGGAGAGACTGACTTCCATGTGTATCGAGTTGCAGCAGTATTGCAAAGTTAGCACAAAGGTCTTATGATTGGACAAAGTCACGTCATATTAGAAAAATCAGTACTTGGAGTTGGAAAGAGTTGACTCAAATGTAGCTTTTAGATATTTAGAGTTTATGATCCCTAAATACAAGCACTTAAACGTCATATGACTTCCAGTATTGTTCAATAAACTATAATATAATTCTTCTGAATTTCAGGTTCGATTTTCTCCTGTTGTCAAACTCCATGTCCTGCGGACCTGGCCGTTTGCGCGGCAGGCGTCTCGTAAAGGACACTGGGAAGAGATGGCACGAGACCGTGACCGCTTCCGGAGGCGAATTGATAAATTGGAGCAGGTCATTGGCCACTGTTTCACCCAGACCCACAGAGAGAACATGCGGGCCTACCTGGACAGTGCCTTGAAAAAAACACAAGGGTCCTGAACACTGACTGCTTCATTTCCTTTTAGGATGAGAACTTGTGATTGGTTGCAATGCAACAGTGATTTTTGATTTAGGCCAATTAGAATTTTGATGTTAGGCCAACGTAAAATGTTTGGTGTCGAGTTGAACAACTTTGTACCTCAGATGGTTTTATACATTGTGTAACTGTTGCACTGACTGACACTTTCTCATTTTAAGCTCAGCGTTACTGTGTGGAATGTTGTTTTTGTATGCCTTATATAATGACCTAGTAATGTAACTTATTGGTGAAGTTTGCCATTTATTTTTACCTTTGCTTTCAGCAGTTTTTATGTGTGAAGAAACCACAGTCGTGACTCTAGAAAAAAGTAGAAAAGGATATCACAAAAAAAGCAGAGCTTTATATTGCAAAGTGTTTTGAGAAGTTTTGTTAAGCATGATGGATACGCGTCAGGTTCTGGTGCAATTCTTGTCTTACTGTCTTACAACTTTAGGATTTGATATTTAAGTCTTTGTCTTGTATTTTCTTATATTCCTGCACATAAATGGCAGCTTTTTAGTGCTGATTGTGAAGATGGGCGTTTATCTGATTGTATTTGCTGCATAACACTTTGTCCTCTGTGACTCACTCAGCTTGTCACAATAACATTGTGTGGCCAGACTGTCCCGAGCAAATTGATCATTAGGTGCTCTGAATCAATAAAATTTGTTACATTGTAACCTTTTTTTTTCTGTTTGGCTTTTTTCACAACCTGACAAATGATTGGACAAAAAAGAAATGAGTTCATACGTATGAGAAATTGGTGAAGTAAAGGTGGCCCTGAGGTCCCAGAAATTTGCAAACAACACAATGCTGAAAAATAAGTAAATCACTGGAAAAGTGATGAGATTCAAAGCGTGAATGGCACAAACATGGTGTGGGGTTGTGTAAACGTGCAGAGAAAGACAAGTTTCTCTACATTCTGAAAATAAAGTGTGGATATCAGCACCTCCAGCCTGACTCTGACCAAACAAACTGGTTTAACCTTTTGACCCCATCTGGACACACCCAAGTGTGGTCATCCAGGGTGTGATATTTCCAACAAAGCATGTGCCTTTGTGGACTTCAACCACTGAAGAGATAAAGGTAAGTGCATTTCTGATAAGGTGATTTACAGGTCAAAAGGGTTGCTTGGTAACTGGAGGTCTGCAAGACAATTTTATTGTATACAAAGTGCTGACTTTGGCCTGCTCCCTATCTGAATATGAATATATATATATACTTTTTTTTTTTTTAAACTTCCTTCTCATGTGTTTTCCCTTACATGTTACCACACACATGCACACAGGAGCCAATAATTTCCCACTGGGACGTGAGTCTCCGTGCAGAGTGGCTGTCGTAAGACAAGGGTTAAAAACACAAAGTATGATGAAATGACTTTCCTGAGGGATGAAATCAATTAGCAGGTCTCCCCACCCCGTCCCCTCCCACATGTGCACACACCATGGTGCAAAGGTGAGCAATCACTGACATTGTTGCTGTGTCAACGCAGCGGTAAGCCTACTGCTGATCTCCCACCACCTCCTCCCCTTGCAGCATGTTGTATATGTTATTCACCATCTGCTTCAGTCTTGCACCCACCCTTGAGTGGAGTTCATTATACTTTAATATCACTAACTTGGGTTATTTCATACATTTAACCGCACCAAAAATAGTTCAAGCCAGAACTTAATTTTAACTCAGTCTAAAAATCTGAAAAAGAGTATGAAATCAATTTATCAGAAATTCAAACAACACAGACAGACACACGGAGCTTTTATGGGAACAAGAACTCTGTACTGCTTGTGACGGCCTTTCATCTAAATATGATCTGCTATTAAATTTATTCTTTTAGCCTTAAAAACATGTGAAAGTCTTTCACACGATGTGCTCAGACCGTCCTTGCGTGTATGTTCTTTACAGACATCAAAACATGCTTGTTATTCAGAGTGCAAGGCTGTGGAATGAATTTTGTTAAGAGAGTACATTTTCTGGATGCTTTGCTTTTGTTCTCAGAGGCTGGCCTGATAACGTCGTCTGTAAGCTGGAAAACAAATTTTCACATCTATGGGGTTTTCTCTTTTTTTTGGTGTTTGCATACAGGGTGGTGAAGGTGGGGGAGGTACATCTGTCCCTCTAATTTCCTTTAGCCTGCCTGTCTGATTTTACAGTCAGACATGACTTGACTGGCTTAACACTGAATAACCAACCAAGGATTCTATGCCCTGCTCAAGGGCACTACAAGAAGACAGACAGTGATGAGGGCCAAATAAAGCTCATCACTTCACCATTCCGGCAATATAGTAGCTTCTCCTTCGCTTCCCCTTCCTTCCTTCCTTCCCATTTTCTTCTTTAACCCACTCCCCTCTCTTTGTATCTCTGTCTCCATCTTTCTCCTCCTCATCTGCTCCCAGTACCATTAGCTCAGTGGCCTAGGCGACCCCGTCTCCAGGCAACCGGCAGGAGTGGCGAGGCGCTGAAAGGATTGCAGGTGATTGCAGCAGTGGTGGAAGCAGAAGCAACAGCAGAAGCAGTGGGCTTTCAGTCAAACACACACACGCACATGTACACACACACACACACACACACACACAAACATTCGGTTGCCCCCTCTTACTCGCCTGCCAGAGAAGGGTATCTCCTGGGTCACAATTAGCTGATGATGCAACCTACCAGCAGCTATTGTGTCTGACACCACCTCATACAGACAGAGTGTATGAAATACAAAACGCAACAAGTCTGTTTGTCCTGCCCATTACATGGATTACGCGATCCAGGCTGTCTGTGTAATAACATGAGGTGTTTGGTTCATCTATACTCTCACTTTGAGACACATGTTCCCTTTTAAACTTGCTGTTTGTGATTCAAATTATTTCACAACCCTTTTGTTCAATATTGAAATTGAATGCGCCAGGGAGAATACTCTTTGTCTCACTCACCGATCAACAAAATCAACTAAAAGGTCCTTTCTGGGCCCTTCAACTGGCTCCAGAGAGAGCAACATAAGGAGTGGTTCACCACCAATTTAAGTGCATGGATGAAAACAGTAATAGAAGAAATGCTTACTGTTATTATCTTTCTCCCTATTATTTTCTCCCTAAGATCCACCTCCTTAAGTAAGTGTGAAGTATTGCATAGTCAGACATGAAGCTATGTGGTAAACAGTGATCCATGGCAGTATATAGCCCATTTATGTGGATTAGTGCGTCTGAACAACACCCAGACGATACAGACAGATGGTTCAAGCTGGAGCTGAATTTAGATGTCGTGTTTAAATTTAACCACTAGGGGACATTGCCTTCTTCAACCGTCTTCTGGTACGTGACATAGCACACATAGACACCATGGTTACTAATTGATGACTGCAAGAAACGGCTACAAGATGTGCTGCAGACCCCTGTCACGTTTTTTAAGAGTCACGTGAATGCATCAGTTATTCATGTTATTCACATTCAAGGGCTCGCCGTTTAAAACCGACAACAGCATATTTATAACGTGACTTTTTGTTTTGTTTTTTTATTAGCTTCCAGCCTTCTCTGAAACATTAATCTGTAACTCAAAATAGTCTATTTCCTGTAATGGCATGTATATTTGGTGCTTACTTCCGCAACTAGATGACCATACCTGGACATCCAGTATGGTCATTAGTCATCTCTTTGAGACACAAGGCTATGTGGACACAAAGAAATGATGTAGGTCTGCTGCCCTCATGTGGTGAAGCTGGTAACATCACGGCAAAAGGGTTTTCTTGTTGATGTTTTTTCTATGACTTGCTGTTGATATATAACTCAAAAGAGAACCCAGTTTTAGGCCAATGTTAGGCCTGAGTCTAAAATTAGATTAAGGTATCAGACCTTGTGAGACCTTGCCCCACCCTATCATGTAACTTACTGATCCTTGAGGTGATTGCTGTTGTTATTTTATGCAGTATAAATTTAACTGAACTGAATTATTTTGATGTTTATCCTACAGCTAACTCAATCAATACAATTTTTTTTTCAGTAAAGGCCTTTAGAATATATTAAAGTCATTGTTTTTTTACGTTTATTCCAGGCTTTCCCAGTATCCTTTTATATCATGTGTATCATTATATGTCATGTATCAGTAATAACTAATGATACCTGTATTTTTGCCCTAACTTTGAAAGAGCTTTTCTTTATTAGAAAAACTAGTTGTGTGGGCAAATATGTGCTTTTATGATAATAACCAACATTTGGGATTAGGTCACGCCTGACTGTTATTGAATGCCACAACTGGGGCAACCTTACTGGGATCGTGCCATTGAAATGGTCGTTGCAGGGCAGGCAACCAGGCATGTTGCCTGCCCTGCAACATGTAGAGTCGCTTGAGTGACAGAGCTTCTCCTCCACAGACTCAGCAGCAACTCCAGGCAGCAGTGATTGAAGAGTGGGAGCCACCCCACTGGATGACATCCGGAAGTTAAGCCTGTCCATGGGGCATATTAGTGCAATGATCAATGCAGATGAGGGGCACACTAATTAATGATTGTGTGTGTGTGTGTGTGTGTGTGTGTGTGTGTGTGTGTGTGTGTGTGTGTGTGTGTGTGTGGTGTGTGTGTGTGTGTGTGTGTGTGTGTGTGTGTTTTACTGTAACCTGCAACGTACGAGTGCATATTTTAATTGGGATTTTTTTTTTTTTGGCTCTTTTTCCTTGTAAAAAGGTAATGATAGTCTCTCCTTGTCTTCTGCCAGAACGCCTGTATTTACTGCCTGTCTGTCATGTGTTGTGCTGCTCAGGAAGACTTTTTGACTCAGCTGTGCTGCCTTAAGATTCCTACATTTGAGCCCTGGATCTGACACACAAACACGCATGCAGATGTAAAAGGAAGCTACAAGTCAATATTTTCATGTAAATTAACTTATTTGTTTGTAGAATTTATATGACAATTTTTACACATTTTTGCATATCCTTTTAAATTCGGACATATATGCTACAGGGAAAATGGATACTAGATCAGCTAAAAAAGACAATTATAATAAGCTTAATATGCTTTCTGCTCTACAGCCAGCTTGAAGATGCCCTCTGAACTCCACCAGAGGGAGACAGAGCAACGCTGAAAATGTCCCAGATGGTCCGGTAGGCATCAACAAGTCTTCTGAAGAAACTGACTGGATAATTTCTCATAACTCGAATGGAAATATGAGCAGCATAGTGGAGAGAATTCACACTTATAGTGAAATTGTTTCAGAAATATTGACCTTTTCACTTCAGGCAGATTTCTTTGTAAGGAGAAAACCTTTTTTGTCTTTTTTGACAGAGAAAGACAAATTTATAGGTTTTGACCACATTTAACAGCCTCGGTGAAGGGAACACATTTCATGAGTCATCGGGTGATGATCATGATTTGCAGAAAGGTTAAAAAAAAACAAAACAAAAAAGTTAACTATGACTTATATAACACAGACAGCAAAGAAAGCACAATTAACTGTGATGATTGTATGACTTTTTTCATTAAACTGACTGTAAACTTTGCATTTACATGTTTTCACTAATACTGCCAGAACATCCACATTTTCAGCAGCTGAACGCTGGAAAGACTGAAATTAACAGAACAGTGACTTTACTTTTTTCTGTGTTGTTGGAGTCTAAAAGTGAAGCTCCAAATTTGGTTTTCCAGGTGATGTTTTTAACATTTAGGAAGTCCACACAGGATGGGTGAGGCTCTGCCACGCCTGCGGGC